CTGAGCCCCCATAGACTAGAAAATTCTTCATTGGTAAAAAGAAATGGTTTAGTCAACCACAAGAAGACATGGGGGAAACTTAAATGCATATTGCTAAATGAAAAATAAATTGCCTGAAGAGACTACATAGTTTGATTCCAACTATGTGACTTTGTGGAAAAGGCGAAACTATCGAAACAGTAAAAAAAATAAAAATTAAAAAAAGGTTGTTTCAGATGGGGAAGGAGGAAAGGACAGAGGAGTAGGTGAACCTGGGGATTTTGAAGGCAGTGAAATCATCTTGTGTGATACATGCTGGATGCATGTCCTTGTACATCTTCCAAAACCCATAGGATGACATCACTGAGGGAGCCCCTAATGTAATTTGGACCTTAGCTAACAATGTGTCAACATTGGTTCATCGATTACAGCACATGTGCTGTGCTGATACAGGATTTTGATGATGGGGGAAGTCGGGGACATAGGAGAACTCTGTACTTTTTGCTTCATTTTTCTATAAACCTAGAACTCTAAAAATAAAGGGTTTGAGTTTCCTTAAATCAGTGCACAGCACTTTAGGGAGCATAAGCTATCTTCTCCCTGAGGGCCATGAAGATGGTGTGGAAATGAATAAGCGCTGCATCTGAAGATCACTGACTAGTGTGTCTGAAAGAGAGAGGTAGATGGCATGGCAGCCCGATAACGTGTGTGCTGGCATCATCGTGGGTCACCAGAGCGGACACCATCATGGTCAAAGTCACATATGTTGCCCAGACACAGGTCCTGCGTTTTGTAAAATGTGATTTTCTGTGTGCATCCATCAGCATGAGTTGGATTAGGAGAGAGAGAGAGAGAGAATCAGACATCGGGCACGCTGGGCTCCTCGTGACTTTACAGTCACAGAGGCTTTTCTTACTCGAGCTCCATGTCACTCCATCGCTCTAAACATTACCTCGGGATGGCTGAAGGGCGGATCGACCTGGAGGACACGTGAGAGGGGCTCAGCAGAGGTGAAGTTGCAGGAGGACTGGAAGGCAGCCCCTACTCCGCGCCCCCCAGCGGACTCACTCCTGCCGCGTTATCTGTATGATGTGTGTGAGTCTCTGTGTCTCTTTCTCTGTTACCTGATAAGAAACTCTGGGCAAAAAAAGTGATTATAAAATAAAGTTTAAAAAAATTATATTTTATTCTTTAAAAGTGGGTGATGGGCTTTAATATTTTTACATTGGGTTTGGTACCAGGATTTATCTTCCCATGTGCGTTATTGCCCCAGTTCATAATGGGAACCCTTCCTTTCAAGTTCTTTATCTTACTATTTTTCTCTTCTTCTCTCCCTCTTTTTCCCCCTCCCCCCTCCTCCTTCTCCTCTTTTTTCTTCTTCTATTTTGGTTAGTTATCTGAACCATTGCATTGTCCTTTCAAGTATGATTGGCTTGAATACACTGAGGGATATTTGACTGCAAAAATTTCTATATCCATTCCCTTCATGTATATACACATTTTCATATAGTTCCAATTAAAACATTTTTTTACACTTATTTTTTTTTTGAGAGACAGTGAGACAAAGCACGAGCGGGGGAGGGGCAGGGAGGGAAGGAGACACAGAATCCGAAGCAGCTCCAGGCTCTGAGCAAGTGTTCAGCACAGAGCCTGTTGCAGGGCTCGAACCCACAAACTGAGATCGTGACCTGAGCCGAAGTCGGACACTCTGAGCCACCCAGACACCCAATATAACTCCAATTTAAACACAATTTGGTAATGGGTAAAGAGAAGTAATTTGGATTTGTATTGACTCATTTTAGAGTTGATACAGGACTTTGCTGTCGAGAGAACAAGGTTCTTGACTGTGGTGTGTTTCTGTGCTGTCGGCACAAGGGTGTGGAAAGTATAAGGAGTCATTTCATAAACGGGTTAACTGGCCCTGGTGAACGCCTTAACCTGCACAGCAGCAGTGTTAGAAATTTCGTAACCCGACGGAGACTTCTGCTGGCTGAAACGTTTTTTTCCACCAATTGGATCCTCCAGAGGAATTGTAAATCAAGTTCAGCTGATAAATGCATCTATGCCACGTATCTGTAAGGGCAGCTCTTTTGCACTCCCGCTGCTAATGTATACAAACCTTTTATATTTGTATTGTAAGCTTTAATTACAGGTTGAGCTAAAGTGTACAGTCTACACAGAATATAAAATTGCACTAATGTGATCCCTGTTTTTATGTGGATTGTTAGAATTATTTCACACCAGAGATTTGTTGCATTTAACAGGACCAGAATTAGAGTATATCAATTAAGTATATTACCCAGTAATTACATTGAACTGATAATTGAATTACTATGTTTATTGCTTTGGGGAAATCCTTTGTAAAAAGTGAGGTAATATTCTCCCTTGAAATTATAACAATATACACAGTGTGCACCTCCGTTGTGCAGGGCCCGGAAATTATGTCCCTTGGAACCTCCGCATTGGTGCGTGCCGGCTCTCTCGTGTCTTCCTTCATGGGCTAGACTAGCGAGCTCACGTTTTTACACCATCATGTAAACAGTGAAAATTTGAAGTTCCACTCAGCTCTCAAATCCTGTTTCCTCCTGGAATTGATTCTTCTTTCTGCACCCAGTGCCTCTGACACAGAGAAAAGCAAGGTAAACTGAGTTTGCCAGCAGACCGCAATCGACTGGCCAGTCCTAGTGCTCAGCAGTGAAATCTCCCCATTGTCCATCATTTCCTGAGCAGCTGTTCCGTGTGAGGCCCCTTCATGAGCCCCGTGGATGAGCCAGTAATCAAAATCGAGTCCCCACCCTCATGAAGCTTACCTATCAGCTGGGACAAGAAGGAAAGAAAAGGCAAAGGAAGTAGAAGCGTGGCACGAAGTGAGGGGTGCTGTTAGCGGTAATGTGGAGACACAGAGGTAGGCTGCTCCAGATGGCGACTGGCCAGAGTGGGACTGGTTGGAAGCAGGAGGGAGGATGTCAGGGGCCTTCTGCTGTGAGAGGGCAGGGGTCAGGGGGCAGCGCGAGCTGTGATCCTAATGAGAAAAAGTGCTCTTGGGGAACAAGAGGGAGAGAGAGCCCATGGACCTAGAAAGGAGTGAATGATGGTGTGAATAAGGAGGGACAGTAACGGAGAGTAAGTGAGGTGACAGGTGGTCAGGCTCTTGGTAACAATAGTCTCTATGTTAGGTGTTTGAATAAAAATTTTAAAATCCACTAAAGGACCTCATACTGGATGGGGAAAATGACTATCATTCGAGGTATATTCCAGAACTATCCTTGTTTGTTCAAGTTAAAAGTGTTTATGACTGACAGAAATGAAAGTTTGGGGGCACTTTGGTGAAGGATTCTGCCACATAGAATGGTGTTAATCAGGTACCCTAAGCCAGAGAGATGGTGTTCTTCAGGAGAATATGCAAAATAAGAACGTGCCTGGCTGTAGACCACAGGGATTAAGAAACTGGGGATTGGAACAGCCATTAATAGCGAGACAACTTGATGGATTGGGATGGCGGTAGTTGCTCAGTTAAGTTCAGCACTATTTTATATAGGACCACTGCAGAAAATGGGCCAGGCAAAGCCAGTTGTATTGATTTCTTTTTATGCTTGGCCACCTCAGAAGGTGAGTCTGGTACACAGAATGCAGGTCTTTTTATATCTTTTCATCTTTAAAGTAGAAACTCAGTCCAGTTAAACTATCCCAGAATTCGAGAGTGTTATTGGACTCTGGAGACCATTTGATCCACACGTTCTTGGCCATGGCAGTGGTTACAGTCATCCGGGAAGAGTTTTAAAAACACTGATGCCACTGCCTGATCCTGTATCTGTTAAGTCAGTATCTGTGAAATGTGGGGTCCTGACGTTTACATGTTTATTAGCCTCCGGCTTGATACTATCGTGCGGGCAGATTTTAGAAACTCTGATCCATTTCTTACCCGTCTCTTCTAGTTCCATATTCCAGAGATTCTCATGGAAGTGACGAGTAGTTGACTATTTTCAGTTCTTACTTCTAATGAATCAACATTTGCCTTGTTGTAAGTTCTTTGGCCATGTTTCCCTCCTGTGTGATTACACCAGACAGTGTGCTTCGTAGTCTGCGGAAGAGTCTGCAGATATTTCAGACTCTTCACAACCTCTCCTCCAAGTAGAAAATTTTTATTTACCACAATTATTTTTTTAGGTTTATGCATTTAAAATTTTTTAATGTTTATTTTTTATAGTTTATTGTCAAACTGATTTCCATATAACGCCCAGTGCTCATCCCCACAAGTGCCCTCCTCCATGCCCATCACCCCCTCCCCCTCCCCCCACCCCTGTCAGTCCTCAGTTTTTGTCAGCACTTAAGAGTCTCTCATGGTTTGCCTCGCTCCCTTTCCCCCACTATTTTTTTCCTTCTTTTCCCCCGTGGTCCTCCGTTAAGTTCCTCCTAATCCTCCTATACGTGCAAACATATGGTATCTGTCCTTCTCTGCCTGACTTATTTCGCTCAGCAAAGCACCCTCAAGGTCCATCCATGTTGCTACACAGGCCAGATTTCATTCTTTCTCATTGCCATGGAGTATTCCATCGTATAGATAAACCACATCTTCTTGATCCATTCATCCGTTGATGGACACTTAGGCTCTTTCCATGTTTTGGCTATTGTTGAGAGTGCTGCTATGAACATTGGGGTACATGTGCTCCTATGCCTCAGCACTCCTGTGTCCCTTGGGTAAATTCCTAGCAGTGCTATTGCTGGGTCCTAGGGGAGTTTTATTGTTAATTTTTTGAGGAACCTCCACAGTGTTTTCCAGAGGGGCTGCACCCATTTACATTCCCATCAACAGTGTAGGAGGCTGCCCATTTCTCCACAACCTCACCAGCATCTAGAGTTCTCTGATTTGCTCATTTTAGCCACTCAGATTGGCATGAGGTGGTATCTCAGTGTGGTTTTGATTTGTATTTCCCTGATGATGAGTGACCCTGAGCATCGTTTCATGTGTCTGTTGGCCATCAGGATGTCCTCTTTGGAGAAGTGTCTGTTCATGTCTTCTGAAAAATATGGGATGCTTCACAAATTTGCAAGTCATCCTTGCCCAGGGGCCATGCTGATCTTGTCTGTATCGTTCCACTTTTAGCATCTGTGCTGATGGAGTGAGCACTGCCACAATTATGTTTTAAGACCTCTTGTCTGCCTGCCCTGTAATGCCTTCATGTTCGTCAGTGTCTAGTGCTGAAAATATTCTTCTCTCAAAATAAGTTAAAGTAACTAAATGCTAAAATGCACAAGTGTTAAGCACCGTGCTGAACATTCTGTCACGCATGACCACATTTAATGTAGCTCTGAAGGGAAACCACATGCAGCGAAAGCAGGAGAGTCTGTTCCTACTCCCACTGAATATAGATAAAGGACCTGACTTAGAGCGGTCAGTGTTGAAAACACAAAACGTAGGAAGTAGGCGAGCTGGAATGCACATTCGGTTCTTGCCTGCTCTAGCAGCAAAGCTTTTAAATGAGTGTTACAATCATCCTGAACAACGCCAAGCCCTGGAGACACCGAGAGAAGCCATGGTCGGCCCGAGGACAGTCTTTCCAGTCCACATTGTGCAAGTGGGGACGGAATCATGCAAGCAGTGAAAGCATCTAGGAATATGGAACATGGTACACTGAGTTAGACAACGAATTCTGGAGTCCGATGCCCTGGTTCTGACTCCACTTGTCTGTTGATTAACCACATGATGTTGGGTAACTTAATTTCTTTGATTTTTCTATTATCCCTCTATGTAAAGTTAATACCAGCGCTGAACTCTGGGGTATAGTATCGTGGCTATGAAATCAGTGAACTTTTTTACAAGCTTTTCACCCATGTAAACATCCTGGTTCATAGTAAGCACAATCCCTCAAAAGTCATTTATATGTGGTAGGAGCGCTGGATAGCCAGAGCACAGAGGATGATTAGGACAGTGCAAATACTATTTCTATCATAACTCTGAAAATTTCATTATACTTTTGTCCAAACTTATAAAATGTATGACACCAAGAGTGAAACCGAAGGGACACTGTGGACTTTGGGTTTCGGTGAGTGTGATGTGTTAGTGTAGGGGCAGCCTTGGTGAAAAAAAAGAAAAGAAGAAACAAGGCTGTTCTGGTGGTGATGTGATAATGAGGGAGGGAGGCTATGTGCATGGAGGTGTGTAGGGTGCATGGAAAATCTCTGTACCTTCCGCTGAGTTTTGCCATAGACCTAAAACTCTTCTAAAAATTAAAGTCTTGAAAAAATCCCAACCATTTTGGGGGTGGTGAGCTTACAGTGCTCATGGGAGGGGGTGCGAAGAAAGGTCATTCACAGAGACAACACATTCAAGGGAATTTTTGGTTAAGGTTTTGGTTATGTTTTACAGTAAGGAAATAACACGTGTGTGTGCATCGTGTGCATTTGTACACTTGATACACATGTGAGGTAAGGAGATGACTGTACACACAGGCACAACCATAGGTACATGTATGTAAACTTACGGACAATATATCAAGACACATTCAAGGTACAATAAAGATGCAGATGGAAAGAGGAGGACCAGGAGCTTCTGGACAAGGCGATAGAGTGAGGTCCTTATTTCGGAGGCTGGACAGGGTGAGAGCAACAGATGAGGAAAAGGTTGTTCTGGAAAGAAAGAAGTTGAATTTGGAAAAAGGAACTGGTTTCCTTCTGAGGCAGAAAGAAGGTCATGGTAATTGATGGCCGTGAAACTACCTTGAGTACCACACAGAGGTAGAGAGACTTGGGGGAAATGACAGTGAAGGTTTGCAAATGACCAACTGTTTGGGGAAAGTGGGATGTGGGAGAGACAGCTGGGTGTGAAGAGTTGGTGGAAGCAATCTTTTGAATACAAAGAGTTGGCTATTTGCAGTGAAAGCCAGTGTGTAGCTGGCAAGGACATAATTCAGATCCTTATTATGAGTCCCTTTGAAGTTCTAAGTTGTTGTGATTATAACACACAGAAGTCACTGCTCCTGAAACAGATAGCCATTCTCTGAAAACTCAATCTTCTGAGTGATCAGCCCCCATCTGTCAACTTGTTGTAGCTTTTAATTTACCAACCCATGCGTGTGTGATTCTTCTAAATTTGCTTTTTTGTTTGTTTCTTTTCACTTTGACTTTTGAAAATTGCAGAGAAGTTGCACAAATCAAGAAGTCCAAGAGACCTGCCCAGATTTACCAACTGCTTACACTTGGCCGTTTGTGTCTCTGTCATATCTTTATGTATACAATTGTTTTCTAACTATTACAGAGGATGTGGGAGACATCCTGGTTTTTATTCCCCTGTGTTCTTCCTTATCTCTTCCCTAAGATCAAAGAAGTAGCCTTAAAAAACCAAAGAACGTTAATCAAAATGAGGAAATACAAAATTTACACATTATTATCGAAAAAGCTTTCCCCGTCCACATTTTCTTGGTTATCACAATAATGTTTAAAGCTTGATACGTTTCCCCTGGTCCAAGATCCAGTCAACTATCATCTTTAGGAATTAAGTATGTCTTTGAAGTCCTTTTACAACTGGGACCATTCCTCATCTTTAATTTTGTTCGTTTATCTCAATTTTTTTTGAGGACTGTAGGGTTTTTGTTTTATGGGTTTATTATTTTGGAAGAATATTCCCAAATTTGGGGTTGTCTAAGAATTCCTCGCAATGAGATTTATATTATATAGATGCTCTGTCCTTCCCAGCACATCACACAAGGAGGCACGTGAGGCCGGTCCATCCTGATACTGGCCATGGTAGTGATGTCACCTAGTTATGATGTCACCTAATTGTGGTCGTGTCTCCATACTGAGAGTACATAGAAAGATGTGTTGAGGAGGAAGATCTTCTTCTGCACTGTGGTCCTTCTAGCCGGGCTTAGAGTCACATTGACTCAGACAGATTAACAGGACAAAGTCAAGCTCACTAGTCCTGTGTATGGGTAATCCACGGAGACAGGGAGTCCCAGAGGCAGTGAGGCAACACAGAGCTTACATGACTTAGGGAGAGGGCGGGCTCTGAAGACACAAAGGGGAGGAAGGCCATCAGCAGGGAAGTGAAAGAGGTTTTGAAAAACAAAATCTGCTCCATTATGCAGATAAGTTTCTTAAGTAACGGGGAGTCTCTGTTAAGGGCCCTCTTTCTGGTACAGACTCTCCTTTCCAGTAAAAATTTAGGCAGTTGAGGACCAGAAAGACTCTTCTTTATTTGCTGCGTTTTGATTACTGTGAACTCCAAATTATGTTCATGCCAAAGGGACCCATTTGGGGGCAGTCACCCTTAGCCCCTACATAATCTTAAGATTCTTAGTATTTATTTTGTTGCCAAAACTATCCAAGATTTGGCCAGAACAAGTCCTTTCAAGCGGGCTTCAGTGCCTTCTCACCTTGTCTCTTTGTTTCTTTGAGCACCATCTCACTTTCTAGCACAAGGTTATCCAGCTTCAACTAGGACTTTTCCTTCCCCAACCCTGCCTGGAATCAAACATTTCTAAAAACAAACAAACAAACAAAAAAAAACAACCAAAAAACGAAAACCAAAAAACACCTTGGTTCATTTTTGTGTTGAGTGGTATGCACACAAAACAAGACCTAGTTCCCATGTACGCTCATTACTATGGGTATTGCTTCCAGGCCATTTCACACCGGAGGGCTAACTTGTGTATATACACACACACACATATACACGTTTATCTGTACTTAACATCTATATCTACACATGCATCTCTAACTTCTTACTGTCTGCATTCCGGTAAAAGTGAGTGCATTCCAGCGGCCATATCTGTATCTGTACCTCCTCAATGGAGAGAAAACTGGCTTCTGTTATTCTCAGTGTATTTAGTCACTCATGTAAATGTGCAAGACACCAAAGTTACTTTCAGCTTTTCTACCCCTTTACCAATATGAAAAGCAAACTTATTAACGAAAGTATTGGTCTACAACTCCTTTTTGAGGTAACATTGACCTACAGTGAAATGTACAAATCTTAAATTTATAATTCAGTGTGATTTAGAATAGAGTTTTGGAGTTTTAGAGGTGAATCAACACCTCGGTAGCCCACATCCCTATCAAGATACAGAATATTTCATAAAGGATAAAGATCCCTTGCATCCTTTATGATCCAGTCCTCCCTAAAAGCAGCCGTTCTTCTGATTTTTCCTTTGTAGATTAGTTTTGCCTGGATTAGAGTGTTATGTAAACAGAATCAAATAGGCACTCTTTGTGTCCAACTCCTTCTGCTAATAACTCTGACTTGCTCACATAGTTGTGTGTGTCAGTACTACATTCTCTTTGTTCCTAAATAGTATTTCATGGAATGAATATGCCACTGTTTACTCACTCCCCTTGCAACAGATATTTCTGTTTGCCAGCTATTGTGAATTAAGATGCCATGAATATTATATGATTTTTATAAATATATTTTTATATCCCTCTGCAGATAACTAGGAATGTAATTGTTGGGCCATAAGGAGATAAATATTTACCTTGAAGAGAAGCTTTCTTTTCCCAAGGAGTGTATTATTTTTCACTACCACCAGCAGTTTTGTGAATCCTGATTCTCTTGTGTGTATACTGGTATCTCATTGTAATTAATTTAATCTTAAATTCTCTGAAATCCAAAAATATTGAGCACTTTTTTATGGGTCGTTGGCCATTGTTATGTCCTTCTTTTTTTGTGCAGTAACTATTCAGATTCCTTTGTCCATTTATTTACTGATATATGTTTTTTCCTAAATTGTAGGAATAGTTTGTATTTTAGTTTTAAGTCTTTTTTGTCCCATGACTGTTCAATATTCTCTTCAAGTCTCTACCTGGTGTGATATCAGTGTTTTTTATGAGAAGAAGCTTTTCGTTTTGGCAAGGTCTCTTTTATCAATTTCCTTTAGTTACTGGTTTCTTTGTTCTTTCTGATGAACAATTGTTAAGCCAAGGTGGCAGAATGTCCTCCTATATTTTCCTTATGTATGTATGTTTGTATATTTATCTATTTTTGAGGGAGAGAGATAGAGGGTGAGCAGGGGAGGGATAGAAAGAGAGAGAGACACAGCAAAGCAACCTCCTCTGTCCATGCAGAACCCGATGCGGGGCTTGAACTCTAGAAACCTTGGGATCATGACCTGAGCTGAGATCAAGAGTTGGATG